AGCCTTTTCCCTAGCCCTCTTCTCAGAAAGAGATGACCAACGTGGGCATGACACTTCCCCTAAAGTATGTGGTGAAGAATTTCAGCCCAATCTGGTGTGGGGATGAGATTACGCTGAACTGCAGACTAACGGTACTAATGGGAAGTGGCAGCGAGCTGGCAGAGCGGTTCTCAGCTCTTTCAGGAGGGCTCTGCACTAAGGCAGAGCCTCAGTGAACAGCGGGCACGATGCCCAGAGCAGCCAAGCTCTGGAAGTCGGTCTCTAAGTGAAGGAAAAGCCCAAGCAAACTTCACATGGCAAAGTACAGTCATAGAATCCCAGAATAGCCTAGGCTGGAAGGAACTTTAGAGATCACCTAACCCAACCTCCTGCCACGGGCAGGGATGCCCTCCACTAGCCCAGGTTGCTCGAGGCCTCATCCAACCCAGCCTTGAACACCAGAAGGGACGGGGCAGCCACAGCCTCTCTGGGCAATTTATTCCAGTCTTGTCACTGCTCTGCTCTGGTGAGAACCCACCTGGAGTTTTGTGTCCAGCTCTGGAGTTCCCAGTACAAGAAGGATGTGGATCTGTTGGGGAGGGTCCAGAGGAGGTCATGAAGATGCTCAGGGGGTTGGAGCATCTCTCCTGTGAGGACAGGCTGAGGGAGTTGGGGCTGTTCAGCCTGGAGAAGAGAAGGCTCCTAAAGAGGAGACATTATAGTGGCGAGGGGGCAGAGGGAGCGCTGGGGAGGGGCTGCTCACAAGGGTGTGTAGCGACAGGATGAGGGGAAATGGTTTTAAACTAGAGCAGGGTTGATTTAGATGAAACATTAGGAAGAAGGTCTTTACTACGAGGGTGGTGAAACACTGGGACAGGTTGCGCAGAGAAGCTGTGGATGCCTCATCCCTGGAAGCGTTCAAGATGGATGAGGCTTTGAGCAACCTGGTCTGGCAGGAGGTGTCCCTGTCCGTGGCAGGGGGTTGGCACTGGATGACCTTTAAGGTCCCTTCCAACTCAAACCACTCCACGATTCTGACGAGCACGGATTTTGTCAGTGGAGAAGCTCAGAGCGGTTGCAACAACCCCCAAGGAAAACGAGAAATCCAACCACAGGACATTTTCTCCAGACAACAGGCGGGGATCAGAGCGTTCTTCAGCGCGGTGGAAGGAGCAGACCACGAGCAGGAGGTCTCTCCAGCCAGGTGAGCATTTCGCTCCAGCAGGAGCCCTCCTCCGCTTGCACATGGCACGCAGCGCAGCCGCCAGCCGGAGAGCGGACACGGCCATGTCCTTCAGCCACAGTGCTTGTCCGTGGCGGGGCCACCAGCCGCCAGGGAAAAGCAGGACTGGGCTGCCACCGTGGGATTATTAAACAAGGCTACAGGCTGAGAAGCCAAGGCAAAAGCCGTCTGCCAAGGAATCGCAGGCAAGGGCACTGCTCTAGGGCTGCACGACGACGGTGAGCTGCACGTTCAGCTCTGCTCCGCGGCACGGATCGCTCTGGCCAACTGACGGGTGCCTCTGCACCGCCTGCTCGCCAGCCTCCAAACTCCCGGGGCACTACCGGCACTTCACGCACACTGCTCGCCAGCAGACACCACAGCAGGGCTCATCGCCCCCCTTGCTGTGCTCACAGACCGACCCTAAACACGAGAAGCAACAAATCGTATCCCAAAGCCTCGACGGCCTTCAGTAACAGCTCGAGGGGGTGTTCCTCTCTGAAAACACAGTGGCACTTCTCTTGTGTTTGAGGCTGCCCACTCACCGCCTCTCAGCGCTCACAGACCACTTGTTGGTCACTCTGCCCTTCCAGGCTCCAGTTCAGGGGAGCTCTCCACAGATTTCAACAGGAATGGAAATTCGACTGTCCCAAGTCACTCACTCATCTGCCTTGGAGTACGGAGAAGAAGGTGCACAGGGACCCAGCGCTTTGCTGAAGCACCGTCCTGGCGAGCTCCTCCTGCCTGCTGGAGGCGCAGACGTCAGGGTCAGAGGAGAAACTCCGTCAATATGTGCCGGTCTTTGAGCTTTTATTCAAGTATGCAGTTTTCTAAGCCTGTACTTGTTACGAGGTGCTACAGCATCTGTGAACTATGACTAAACACACTCCCACATGTTTGTTTCGGGCCATGAATACTTTACTAGCTCTTGAGCTAAACCATCTGAAACCTGCACTCAAAATTTTGGCCCGCATTAAACCCCAGCAAGCTCACTGATACTGGGCTTGCCTGTGGTGCGTCCTCAAGACCAAGGCACAGCCCTTCCCAAACATTTTAAAGCAACAGTTTTAAACGTCTGGAACAACCACTTGAGAGTTTTTGGTCAAAGAGCCATTTTATATGTTTTAGCAGCTGGGAGAAAAGTGATAAGGCTCAGGCAGTACTAACCACTGAGGTAACGCTCTTTCACAAACTGCTTTGCCTAAATACATGGTTTGGTTTAGCACTGTAGTCTAAAGCCTTCTCCTGTCTCAGTCAGTCAAGTCAACAACAGTCAGTTGTAAATTAAACAATCACTAGAACCAAATATCAATTTTGCAAACTGAAGCTTGAACGCTTCCCCAGGTGGGGGACTCTTTTCACCTCTGCGGCTTACTGGGCACCCAGAGGAGATGGAAGGGTGAGAAGGAGAGCTGGGCACAGCGGGAAGGAGGAGGGGACAGGTATCACCCCCAGAGGGAGGTGGAAAGGGAAAGGAAATAACCTCTAGAACTGATGGGAATGGAAACAGAGATGTGAAAAGCAACTTAGAATCCCAGCTGTGACTCCATTTTAATCTAACTGATGGAGCAAGGGGAAGCAGAGAGCAAGCAAGAGCAGTCACCAGAATAAACCCCGTCTCCTCACACACACAGTTCTGGTGGCAGGCACTGACAAACCTCCGACAGGGATGAGGAGTCTGGTGTTAAGGATCAGCTCACAGACCTCCTGCAGCCTCACCGCAGCGCAGCAGCGCTGTTTTGCCTTGGGTTGAAACGCTACCAACAGGAAAAGTAACTTTTGGAACAAAAAGCAGAGCTATGTGCTGCAGTCCAGGGAAGTAACTGGAAACCCTGCAGGGCCAGGAGGGGAGCACTTGCAGTGGCGGCTCCAGAGGCCACTTCCCCACTTCCCTCCTTGCTGATGGCTGCAGGACTGCGGGAGGGGGGGGGGTCCCAAAATTCTTAACTGTAAACCCCCACCGGCAGACTGATATTTCTCTGCAGGTGCACGTGGTCTTGAAGAAAAACCTAAGCACAACACAGCAGCAAGCTGACCCGGGGCAGAGCCCACCCCAGGCGGTGAACGGGGCCTGAACGGGGGTGTGGGCAGCGAGGGCTGCAGGAGCTCGCTCTCATCTTCAGGTTGGGCCCAGGTGTGCCACCAACACCCTCCTACCTGGTCCAACACCACCACCAGAAACAGGAGTCACAGCGACATCGCCCGCTCGCCTGCCAATGCAACTCACACGGATTTAGACAGGTTAAACCCTCTTCTAAAGCAAACTGTTACAGCCTTCCATATCGTAACTCGCTGATTTATTGATTTCTCTTCGGGGATGTACACTTGAATGCCGCGTCC